TAGAGATGAACCAATGAGGCTGGCAAGGTGGCTTAGCAGGTAAAGAACTTGCTGCTAAACCTGAAGGCCTGAGTTAGAGCCCTAGGACCCAAATGGCAGAAGGACAGAACTGACTCAGGCAAGTTGTCCTCTGACTACTACACACCCACACCAAGGCACATATGCACCCACACATACACACACACACACACACACACACACACACACACAAAATAAATAAATAAATGCAATTTTTTTTTTCAGATAAACCAACCACTGGAGATTTAAACTAGCCCAAAGCTAACTAGTAAATTAAGGCTGGGAAGATGGGTAAAGTGCTCATCACCCAAGCATACAGACCTAAATTCAAATCCCCAGCACCCATGTAAAATAGGTCTCTGAGCTGAGGAGACGGCAACAGGTAAATCCCTAGAATTCACTGGCCATTCCATCTAGCTAAATCACTGGGTTCCAGACCAATGAGACCTCCTGTCTCAAATGCTCCTAAGGAACATCACCTGAGGCTGACCTGTGAACTACATGGACATGTAGACACACACACACACACACACACACACACACACACACACACACACCAAAAAACACACATAATAGACAAGCAACAGAAAATTAACAGGCTTCTGCTTACAATTTTTTTTTTTGGCATAAGTTTGGGAAGGCATACTCCTATTTTAAGCATAATTTTACACTCACCAGAGTTGAACAGTTAAACTTTAAACAGTTTTTGTAAACACAGCTTTTTGAAGTTGCACACTTCCTTGACAAGTATCCTTATAATGGCTAGGGATGTAGCTCAATATCAGTTTTCTCTCAACATGCACACACACTCACTCACACACACACACACACACACAGGGTGGGAGGATAGAGGAAGAAGAAGGAGGAGGGCAAAGAGGAAGAGGAGAAGGAGGAGGGAATAAGACTCAAGTATCTTTACCAAAAGATCTGGGATAGATGATTGTAGTACAGTTGTATCTTTTCAGCTAGTACTAAGTTTCAAATCATCAGTTAAGTCAGTCAGAATTGTGTATGTATATGTGTGAGCGGTAGCTTTCAGAAATATAGAGAACCAAGTTACAGGCAGTTGCAACATTCTTCAGAGAAATTTGCAAGTCCAATAACACGTACCTTTTTAGTATAAAACAAAGAAAACCTTATTGTCTTTGATGGGTTAAGGGAGTTAGTTCATCATAGGCAGCATAAAGAAGTCCAAACATAAAATTCAATTGGAATAAAGCAATATCCTCTTCCTATTCGAATTTATTTCCCTTTGTTCTTTCCTTTTTGTTTTATTTTTTGAGACATTATCTCAGGTTAGGCTTGATTTCCCTCTAGGACAGCAGAGGATAATCTTGAACACCGAATACTTCTAACTCTACTTGGGATTACAAGTCTGTGCCATCATACCCATGCTGGGATTCAAACCAAGAGCTTATATGGTACTGGAAATCTAACCCAGAGCTTCCTCCATGCTAGGCATGCACTCCACTAATTGAGGTATATTCTCTACCCCTGTTTGAATTTCTAACATAACTAGTGATTCTTAATGTGCAGTGGTTCTAAGTCACAATATGCTTATGCCTGAATAAAGAAAGAGTCTGACTCAGCATTCATAAGGCCCAGAGTGAACCCAAACTGTTGAACGTCCTTAGATGTTTTTTATTTCTCTTCTTTCCAGCAAGGCTTTGCTGAATATTGATACAGTAGCTCCAGCATGAAATGGGGAAGTAGTCGAAGTCATGACCCACCCTTAGCTTATCAGAGAATCCTGCCCTTTGATCTCTTGGCCTAGAATGTTACACACACACAACCAGATTTATCTCATTTATTCAATGAGAAAACATGCTCAGCTTTGATATGTAAAGCATGCACATTCACACTCTATCTTACACTATCTTGGATGCAGGGTAAGGAGAGGTACTGAGTATTCAGTGGCGTACATGGCTCGGTGATCTTGTTTATATTAAAAGCAGTAACTTCTTGGTTGCAAAGTTAGGTAAAAGTCTTTAGTCCAGATTATGTCCATATTGTAAAAGTCATTCCTACAATAATAGGCATATAATTTACAAATATGAATTGAATTGGTTTCTAGAAAGCAAATTATTCCTGAAAGGAGATATTAAAACTTAGCCTCCATGCATTTTCTTTAAGTTCTCAATGCTTATGAAGAGGTGATGGAGAAGAGAGAAAAATTATGAACTGAGTGCCAGTGAGATCATATATCTGGAACTAGTTCCACATACTTTTTAATTATTTTCTTAATTTTTATTTTTATGTGTATGAGTGTTTTGCCTATGTATATGTAAGTGAACTACATGTGTGCAGTTCCCACAGAGGCCAGAAATTTGTTGCGTACTCTGGAATTGGAGTTACTGCCAATTGTTAGCCACTGTGGGTGCTGGGAACAGAACAAGGGTCCTCTGCAAGGCAGCAATTGTTTTTAACCACTGAGACATTTCTCCATCCCCTCCACATACTTCTTAATTATATTAAAATGTCATAAATGGTTTCAACAGAAAACCCAGTTTCTTGTTGCTATAACTTAGTTGGGTTCTTTCTTTTAAAAAATTTTCAGCCGGGCGTGGTGGCATATGCCTTTAATCCCAGCACTTGGGAGGCAGAGGCAGGCGGATCTCTGTGAGTTCAAGGCCAGCCTGGTCTACATAGTGAGTTCCAGGACAGCTGGGGCTACAGGGAGACTATGTCTCAAAAAGAAAAAAAAAAAATTTCAATACATTTTTACTAAGCTTTTGTGTATTTCATACATAGTATCTTTATCATGTTCATACCCCTTTCCCATTGGCACTCTCTCATAGATTCCCCCACTGGACCTCATGCATTCTGTCATTTATGTTACAGCCTAGCAAGTTAAGTTAGTGTCCCCTGATGTCCCTCAGTGCAAGTTCATCCACTGAGTTCTAGTCAACCTACCTAGAGTCACTCCCTTAAAGAAGATCAGCTCTTCCTTACTCAGTAGTATTCAGTTGCCCAATAGTTCTTCAGTTAAGAGTGAGGCCTGCTGCCCTTTCCCAAAGTTCTATGCTGGGTTTTTGTTTATTTGAGTTTGCATGGGTCTTGTGCATGCTGTCACCATTGCTATAAATTCATATGCTACTTTTAATTTTTATGAAAAGGTAAATTGACAGCAGTCAAGGCTGTTACTAAATCCTTCCTGGCCCAAAGCTAACAAAACTGGAAGGTAAACTGACAACACTAATGTAGTTAGTTATTATTTCCAATCTTAGATACATCCTGAATTCTAGGCCACCAAGAGCAACTCTTAGCTGACTACAAGACTAATCAACTGAATAATATTAAAGTTAAATATTTCCAGTCAGGTACAGTGCCTCTTGTCAATGATCCCAGCACTCAAGAAGACAGTCACAAATTCCAGGCTGACCTGGCTACACAGTGAGTTCCAGGCAAGCCTGGGCTACAATGTGAGACCCTGTCTCATTCATAAATAAACAAATAAATAAATAGCCCTCTTCACCATGAGAGAAAGGCAATTTGAAGACCCCTCAACAAAAAGTACAAGGAACAAAGGTGGTTCCCTGGTTCCCCGGTGTGTCGACACTGTCCTCAAGGTCTATCTTTTCCCCTACGCTGTACTAAAGAGTTAACTTTTTGTTTCTCTTCTCTCCATCTCCCTCTGCCTGGCAGCTGCTGGGATCTTCAGCTTGTCTGCCTTGCTTTTTTTCCCCCTCTCTGCTCTAAAAAACTTTCCCCTTTGAGTACACTTTTAAGTTCTTTTTATCAATGAGATCAAGAACTTAAGAAGGGACCCACCCTGTGTCACTGCCCCCCCACCCCTACCAAAACCATATACACATAAAATTTTAAAAGGAAGAATTCTGGAAGGTAAGAAAGGAGCAAGTAAATGTAAAAAAGATACATCATGAGCTAGGGATGAGACTCAGTCTTTAGGGCTTGCCTAGTTTACAGAACGCCCTGGGCATGCTGACCTATGTCTGGGATTCAAGGAGGTAGAGGCAGGTAGATCAGAAGCTCAAAGTCATTCTCAGCTACATGAGACCCTACCTCAAAAAGAAAATTTTTAAAAAAAGAAAAAAAAGATGCATCATATACACATTAACCAAAAGAAAGTAGAGCTATAACAGGTACATAAAAGCAATTTTTTCTAGGTACTCTTACTGACTAGGTTAGGCCAACCACTTAACTAAAAGCAGCATGAAATGCTGGCATCTCTGCCTTCATTGTATTTGCCTATCTTCTTTACTTTGGCTGAAGGCACAAAAATGGGTCATAGTCTTTAACCTTTCCTCTTGTGTTCAGCTTGAAGTATAGCAACAACATAAACATCTTTGTGACAAAGGACAGAAATCATTCCCAAGCTGAGACAGGACAGACTATCTCCAGGATGAGAACAATTATATGTGATGGAGAGTGTACACCTAGAGCAGATCATCTTGTAGGAATCAGACTGGTCTTGTCCAGCAATGATTAACAATGTAATCTGACTATCCTGAAGGACTGAGCTGAGACAACGATGGGCCAGACCACACCTTGACCAGACTGCTTAACTGCATGCCAGCTGCCCCAGCTGTTCTCTATCAAACCTAAAGTTCGTGTCAGAATAGTGAAAAAGACTTGGGGATCAACAGGACCCTCTTTCTAATGTAGTCACACTGAATAAATCCCTATGTGTTTTTTCCATTGTCACTTGTCTCTTTTAATTGGTGTATTAAGATAGATGGGTGAAGCCAAGCTGGCTGACACCGAAAGCCCAATCTTTTCTCCTAAAAATCTTGGTTACAGAAGTGACTCTTTTATAGATAAATCAGAAAAAGTAGCAAATAAAATGTATCAGAGACACAGCAAGAATCAGTGACTCAATCCACCAACAAAGCATAGCAGTATCCATGTACTAAACAAGACAGCTGGAAATGTGTTATACTTGCAATTAATACAAGAAAATCAAATTTTAAAATTCAAGCCAGGGCTAGAGATAGATGTACTTCAGCTGGTAGAATGCTTACCTAGCATGCCTGAGGCCTGGGTCCAATCCTCAGCACCGCATAAATCTAGTGCAGTATCTCAACCCTGAAATCCCAGCAATGGGGAGGAGGTAAAAGCAGGGAGTCAGAAATTCAAGATAGAGAAATCCTCCTCCACTGAGATAGCACACTAGCCTTTTTTATTTTAGTTTGAGACAAGGATTGCCCAAGCAGGCTTTGAATTTGGAATTCTCCTGCCTAGTAGCTGGGTTACAAGTATGTTACTGAGACTTGCTTTTATTTATTATTAGCCAGGGGTGGTGGCGCATGCCTTTAATTCCAGCACTCAGGAGGCAGAGGTAGGCGGATCTCTGTGAGTTCAAAGCCAGCCTGGTCTACATAGTGAGTTCTAGGTCAGCTGGGGCTACAGGGAGACCCTGTCTCAAAAAGACCAAAAAAGAAAATTTTTTTATTATTTTATGTGTATGAGTGTATTGCCTGCATGTACCTAAGTGCACCCGTGTCATACAATGCCCACAGAGGTCAGAAGAGGGTGTTCCCCCAGAACTGGTGTTATGGACAGTTGTAAGCTGGCATGTGGGTGCTGGAAACAGAATCCAAATCCTCTGAAAGAGCAGCCAGTTCTTTTAACTGTTGAGTCATCTCTCCAGTCCCCCCCTCCTCTTTTTTTGCTGTATATTTCTGCCCTAGAACCTCATGCATGCTGGCCAAGCACTCTACCACTGAGCTATATCCCCCAGTGATTATTTATATATTTATTTAGACAGGGACTCTTGTATGCCAGGTTGGCCTTGAACAAGCTCTACTTACTAAGTAACTAAGGATGACCTTGAAAGCCCAGCTAGTGTTGCATGCCTTTAATCCCAGTACTTGGGAGGCAGAGGCAGGTGGATCTCTGAGTTCAAGGCGAGACTGGTCTACATAGTGAGTTCCAGGCCAGCTGGGACTACAAGAAGACCCTGTCTCAAAAAAGACCAAAAAAAAAAAAACCTTGAATTTCAGTATCTGTATATGTGTGTGTGTTTGGAAACATGGTCTCACTGTGCAGCCCTAACTGGCCACAGATTCACAGAGATCTGCCTGTCTCTGCCTCCTGAATGTGGGGGTTAAAGGTATGAACAATTATATCCAGCCTGTGTTCATGGACTGAAATACTTAACACAGTAAGGATATTAATTTTCCTGAAATTGGTAAGCAAGCTTAACAAATTCCTACCAAAATTTCAGCAAGATTTTTAAAGCTATTGAAAAATTATTCTGAAATATATATGAAAAGGTAAAGTAACTAGACTAAACAATTTTGAAAAATAAACACAAACCAGTTGTGGTTGTACAGACTTTTCATACAACCTGACAGATGGAAGCAGAAAGATCAGGAGTTCATCCTTAACTACATAGAAAATTCAAGGCCAGACAGTTATACCACTTGTACAAATAAAATAAAAAATTTTTAAATCATTGAAAAAAATGAAGTCAGGCATAGATGCACAAGCCTTTAAGTCCCAGCGCTCAGGAGGCAGAAGCAGATGGATCTCTGTGAGATTGAAGCCAGTATGGTCTCCATAGTGGGGCTACAGGGAGACCCTATCTCAAAAAGACAAAAAGTACGGGGCTAGAGAGATGGCTCAGAGGTTTAGAGCATTGGCCGCTCTTATAGAGGACATGAGTTCAGTTCCCAACACCCACACAGCAGCTAACAATCGTTCCAGGGGATCCAAAGCCCTCCTCTGATCTCTGGCATTATATAATACGGGTGTACTTACACACACGAAGGCATAAAAATAAAGACAAAAAATTAAAAATTAAATTAAATTAAAACTTTCTTGTGTCAATGAGATGGCTCAGCAGGTAAAGGTGCTTGCTGCCCTGCTTGAAGACTTGGATTTGATATTGAGGACCAAAATGGTAGAAGGAAGAGCCGGGTGTGGTGGTACATGCCTTTGATCCCAGCACTCAGGAGGCAGAGGCAGGTGGATCTCTGTGAGTTCAATGCCAGCCTTGTCTACATATGAGTTCCAGGCCAGCTGGGGCTATGGGGAAACCCTGTCTCAAAAAGACCAAAAAAAAAAAAAAATGGTAGGAGAGAACCACTCCCACAAGTTGTACTCTGATCTGCACACACATACCCCCACCCACAAATAATAAATTTACATTCTTTATTAAGAATGTAAATTAAATAAAAAATTTCTGATCTGCACAAAGCTATATGAAGGGCTGGAGAGATGGCTGAGCAGCTAAGAGCACTGACTGCTCCTCCAGAAGACCCAAATTCAGTTCCCAGCACCCACATAGTGGTTAACAACTGTCCAGAGCTCCAGTTCCAGGAGCTCCAATGACTGTTCTGTGCACTGCATGCACATGGTATATTTACATACATGCAGGCAAAACACACATAAAATAAAAATAAATTTTGAAAACTAAATTTTTTTAAAAACCTGTATGACAGGATAGGACAAGTTGCAGAGGGACAGAAAACAGTTCTCTCAAAAAAAGAGGGAAAAGAAGGCGGGATGTGGTAGTGCACGCCTGTAGTCCCAGCACTTGGGAGGCAGAGGCAGGCAGATCTCTTTGAGTTCAAGGCCAGCCTGGTCTACATAGTGAGTTCCAGGACAGCTGGGGCTACAGGGAGACCCTGTCTCAAAAAGACAAAAAAAAAAGTTATATACTGTATGATTCTATTTTATCAAACATTTTTTATGTTTTATTTTTATTTTATGTGTATGCATGTATTGCCTGCATGTAGGTAAGTGCATCTGAGCTGTGCAATACCAGCAGAGGACAGAAGAGGCCGTTGGATCCCCTGAAACTGGAGTTATGGACAGTTGTTAGCTGCCATGTGGGTACTGGGATTCAAACCCAGGTCTTCTGCAAGAAGGGGAGGGGCACCAAAAAAAGGTTGCTTTATTAAGGGGCTCAACAGTTAAGAACACTTGCAGAAGACCCAGGTTTGCATCCCAGCACCCATATGGCAGCTAATAACTGTCTAACTCCAGTTCCAGGGGATCCGATGGCCTCTTCTGTCCTCTGCGGGCATTGCATGGCACGGGTACACTTACCTACATGTGGGCAATACACACATACACATAAAATAAAAATAATTTTAAAAAAAATTTTTTAAAGATTGCTTTATGCAGGGTGTGGTGGCGCACGCCTTTAATCCCAGCACTTAGGAGGCAGAGGCAGGCAGATCTTTGTGAGTTTGAGGCCAGCCTAGTCTACATAGTGAGAAATAAATAAATAAATAAATAAATAAATAAATAAAGCAAGCTTTATTATTTGTGTGTACATGTATGTGGGTGCCTACAGAGATCAAAGGAAGGGATCAAGTTCCCTAGAGCTAGTCACAATCGATTGTAAGCCACCTGACATGGGTGCTGGGAACTGAACTCCATTCCTTCAAAAGAGCAGTAAGAGCTCTTAACCACTGAGTCATCTCTCCAGTCCTATAGACCATTTTTGAAGAGACAAAAACCATAGAAATGAGGAATAAATTAGGGACCTCCAAGAGCTGAATTTAAAGGTAGGATTACAAAAGGGCACCAAGAATGATTGAAAATTTCTGTATCTCAAATGTACCAATGTCAACATCCTAGTCATGATACTATATAATAATTTTGCAGGCTACTGCAATTGGCAGGGACTAGAGAGATGGCTCCACAGTTAGGAGTGCTTGCTACTTTTGCAAAGGACCAATGTCAGGGAGCTCACCCTCCACCGCCTGTAATTCCAGCTCCAGGAGACATGATGCCTTCTTCTATAACTCTTCAGGCACCTGCACTCACACGTGCACATTCACACATAATATATACATATAATTAAAAATAATCTTTAGAAAGAAAAATAGATGCTACCATTGGCAGAAAACAGCTAATGGTATTAAAAATATAGAAGATTTCTGTGTATTTTATTTGGAAGATTTTTTTTCAATGCTAGGGGTGGAGCTCTAGGCCTTAATACATGTTACGTAAGTACTCTACCACTATATTCCAGCTCTTAAAAACATTTTTAATATTATATACTTCATCTTCCTTTTGATCTTTAAAATCTATAGCTCAGTTCAGAGTGCTTGCCTAGAATGCATGAGGCCCTGGATTCAACTGCCAGTACTGGGAGGAAAAGAAGAAAATTACAAGGCTCTAACAAAGAATCCCTGAAGTTCCTAGCATTGTCTTTTTATATTATTCCACCTAAAAATATCTTTCGCTTAGGTTTTGTTCCTTTTTGTTTTTTTGAGATAGGATCTCACATATAACCCAAGGAGGAAAAGAAGAAAAATCATGCAAGGTTCTAACAATCAAAGAATCCCTGAAGTTCCTAGCATTGTCTTATTATCTTTTTCCACCTAAAAATACTTTTCATTTAGGTTTTTTCCCTTTCGGTTTTTTTTTTTTTTTGAGATAGGATCTCACTTATAACCCAAGCTGACCTTGAACTCCTGATCCTCTGACCTTTACCTCCCAAATGATGTGATTACATCATGCTACACTATGCTTCTCCACAGAGGGTGATCTTGAACTTCTACCTCTAGGGGCTGGAAGTGTGGGGAGTATACTACCACACCCGGTTTTAGGTGTGCAGAGAGATCAAAGCCAAGATTCAGTGTGTGCAAGGCAAGCAATCCACAAACTGAAGTATATATCTCCAGCCCCTTTTTATCTAGTATTGTTATTTGTGCATGTATGTGTATATGTATCATGACATGTGTACACGTATGTATCTGTGTTTCTGTATGAGAATGGGTGTTCAGGTGCCATGGCATGCCTGTGGAGGTCAGAGGACAACCTCAGGTTGTCCTTACTTTCCACCTTGTTTGAAAGAGTCTCTTGTCCTGCCACAGTGTACAGCAGGCTAGCTGGCCCAGGAGCTTCTGGGTATTCTCCTGTCTCATAGGTTCTAGGAATTCGAAGTCTGGTCCCAGGCACAGCAAGCACTTTACCCACCATGCCATCTCCCCAGCTTTCCAGTATCTTTCAATTAAGTTTTAGACTTTTCATCATACAGCACTTATGCCTTTATTTTTCTACTTATTACTTAAGGGGGGTTT